TGGAATACAGATTGGTGGATTCTAGGCAAAGGGAATATAGAAGGGGGTTGAATACACCTCTAAAACGGTAGCATGAGAGAGATCTTTGTAGTGATGGAAGAGTTCTGTATCTTTATTTCAGTGATAGTTACAAGTCAAAGTACTTGATAAAATAAGATAGAACTCTACACACCATATCCATGATTAGGTTCCTTGCAATGTTGTACTGGGGTCACAAATATTGTATATTAACGCATGATTAGCTTCCTTACAATGTTGTACTGGGGTAACAAATATTGTATATTAATGCATATATATGGAATCTGGGAAAATAGCACTGATGAACCTATTTGCTGGGCAGGAATAGACATGGAGAACAGATTGTAGACACAGTGGGGAAAGGAGGGAGTGGGACCAGTTGGGAGAGTAGCCGTGAAACATACACGTTACCGCATGTAAAACAGATAGCTACTGGGAAGTTGCCATATAGCACAGGCGTCTCCGCTCAGTGCTCTGTGATGACCTAGAGAGGTGGGGTGGGATTGGGGGGAGGTTCGAATGGAGTGGACATGCATATAGTTATGGCTGAGTCACGTTGCATGGCAGAAACCAACAGGACATGGTAAAGCAATTATCCTCCAATTACTTAAACAAAAAAAAAAAGATGTAACCATTGGGGAAACTGAGTGAAGGATACACTGGACCTCTCTGAATTATCTTTGCAACTTCTTGTGAATCTGTAATTATTCAAAATAAAAAGGGTTTTTTATTTTCAAACAAAACTGTATTTCTTTTCAGTTTAAAATTCTCTAAACTGTCCGGGTAGCTCATTTGAATCTGCCTGCAATGTGGGAGACCCACGTTTGATCCCTCGGTCGGGAAGATTCCCTGGAGAAGGGTATGGCAACCCACTCCAGTACTGTTGCCTGGAGAATCCCATGGACAGAGGAGCCTGGTCCATGGGTCACAAGGAGTTGGGCACAACTGAGCAACTGACACGCACACACAAAATGAAAATAGTGGAAGTAACAGAGGAGAGGAATAGGTATAAAGAATTTACTCTGGAAAAATATTGAAGTGATTTTGTACAATACAGGTATTTTATTTAATCTTAAATCTTGTGACTGTAAATATTATTAGTTTACTTTGATAATAACTTTCCCCAAAGAGCAAAAAGCCCGTAAACAAGAGCAACCAGGATAGGAGGAGCCTGGGGGGACAGGACATTCAGCAAATTAGACCAAAGCCAGCAGGGGCAGCCATTAGAGTCTTAGAAGGAGCATGTCATGGTAATCCTAGAACAGAAAACTCTGACTTCAGAGTTTGTTAAGTGTCTCCTTTTGAATGTCATCCCCCGTCAGAGAGACTGATTTTGCATCAGCCATTCTGAAATGATGGACCTAGAAAGAAGACTATCTCCACTGTAGCCAATCTTCTAACTATCTACCCAGCAAGGCAGGCGAAGTTTGGGGTTTTAATATCTGATACCAGCACTATCTCCTCAGGGGTGGCCATACTTGAATGAATACATTTACTCGAGCTTTATTTTCTACAGGATGATGAGGTAATAGTTAAAGACAATAGAAAAAGTTTAAAATAATATGAAATTCTGAACTTCTGAAAGGGCCAGCCTTAATAGTCCCTGTCAACTGGCAGTGATCCCAGTGGTGTTTCTGCAGATTTATAGACCAGGCACACGTAATTATCCTTTCCTTTAATAACAGAGTAAAACATCACACCCACCTGTTTCCCAGGTGGGACTGCTACTGCACATTTCGTTAAACAGTTGTCATTCTCACCAACTCCTAGGGCACAACTTCAGTTTTCAAGGGTTCTGTTGGCCACTTAAAATACCCTTGACATGTGACCAAGAGCCATTTAATTAAGTGAAAGCAAACAGTGGAGAATTACACAGAAGGTTTCTCTCAGCCGGATGCTTCACGTAGGTAATGTAATATTAATATGTTAAAGATCATTGATAAATAATAAAAAGTCACACTGCCCACAGGGACGAGGTCCTGTAGTGTGACTTATTCCAACACTGGGAGTGCAGTGCCCCCTAGTAGTTGCGGTAAGAAACATTGTCCTCAAAGTGCGTTAGATTTAGCAAATGAGGAGCTCCCACAATTGGTACTACTCTCAAGCTCAAGTGGGTAATTTGACAATTGCTTTTATCTTTTCTGAACCATTAGGAACCCACTGAAAGTTTCACGTTGAATGTGCACTAATTTTTTCCAGTGCCAACAAAGGTTGGATTCTAACAATGCCCTAATGGGAGCTTATCAATAACTCTTAAACATCTGATTCTCTGTGAATATCAAAATTTAACAGTCTCCTTTTGCTTTGCCTTCAAGCCTCTCCTGAGCTGACGGTTGAGAATTAGAATAAATATAGGGGACAGACACAGAAAGCATCACCCCACAAGCTTCAGGGCATCTCAGGGGTGAAAGATGGCCACAAAACAGCGGAGTGTTAAGAAATCCGTTGATGGGTCAAGTATTCAAAAACAGACAAAGGTCTGACAATTTTGCCTGTGAAAACACTGCAGCTTATAGTGGCAACTGATAGATTTGTAGAGTTAGATAAAACTAGAAGTAAATTTAAGCAAGTTGAACAGGCAAGGAGAACAGATATAAATTTATATTTCCTTTTTTTTTTGTTGTTAATGAAAGCCATTCAAAGGCAGTCTCATTTCTAGGATATCCAAAAGATAATAGGCACATACATAGTATAGCACAAATGCTTTTGAAAGTGGAATGTGCATTTTCTGCCTTCTGTGTGGCCGATATCATACTATTTCAAAGCCCGTAAAAGCAATATATAGTTTTTTGACAAATACACCCATGTGTTGTGCATGGTTTGATTTATGTAAACTCATTTCAAATGCAGTTGCAGAATTCCTCCTGAACAGATGAAAAATGTCTGCCTAAAGTGATAAAAATATGTGTGTGTAGAAAGATATAGTTTTAAGAAGGAATTTTTATATGTTAACAGATTTGTAACTCTATTTCACACAATATCCTTTAAAAAAAAGCTTCTAGAGACTTGTTTTTTTTTTTTCTACATTACTGTGTCAGTTCAGGTGTTTCCATAAGATGAAAGTGAGTCTATTCTGCTATAAGAACCTTTGTGTGTTGAAAATTAGCATGTGTGGGAGTGGTGAATGGAGAAATGAGATCAATATAACAGATGTTTGCTTTGTCCATGCATTTCACTAGTTCCAGCAACCAAGAACAAAGCTCACTAACTCAGGTCAACACAAGGCTAGTCAAGGCAGATAGGATAGTGACTGTGTCTCATTTAGCCCATATTCTTCCTCTTGACTCAGTTTTGGCCATGTTTCAACATGACTGTGTTTAAGAGTGTAGCTCTCCTGAGCCTTTCTGCACTTTGTACTTGTTTTATAGATTACCATTCTCAGCTCTTCTCTTTCCCGGCTTCCTTGTTTCACCAAACTGTCTTCATATACACACACAACTGAAGTCCTGTTTTGTTTTGTTTTGTTTTTGTAGTGTTTATCTATTAGGAATTTAAGCTATCTTTTTAATCATGCTGATATATTTACTAGAATGATTATTGTTTTTGTTAGTATTCATGTTACATAAATATCGAGTAGATGTGTCCTGACCTTATATTTCTCAGAACCCTATAATTTTCATTATGTAATTTTGAAGATCATACAGGGAATGCATTTATCTCATTATAAGCACAAGCATTTGTACTTGCAGTCTCTTTATTAATTGCATTTATCATTATGGAATTACTCTTTGAATTATAGACTTCCCTCATGAATCCAAGGCATACCGACTGAGGTAGCAGTTGCCTACTAGATTCATTTATTTAGTTTAACCTTCACTGAGTAAAGCCAACCCCGTGTGTACATTACAACACCCCATTAAAAAGTAACCTTCCCATCTTTCTTTCTTTCTATACAATGAAAATATTTTCATAACAGAAGCACTTAATGAAGGTTTAACTTGCTTCTGCTGAAACCTTTTATTTTTTTAATCACTAACATATGGTTTGTGTACATTTAAAAAAGGATCCCCATCCTCGCCACCCACATACATACATACTCATTCCCTGTACTCTTCTAAGTAATTTGTGGCTAGTATTTGTGTTTAAATTTCACATTCAACATAGTATGAAATTCTAAATTCCATCAGGTCAAGCTGCAGTGAGTCAGGGATTTTTAATATGATAACAGCTTACAACAGACCCTAAAACATTAGTGTAATTAATGCAGAAGGAAATGGAAAATTTTCAGAAAGTCTTCTTTCATATTTCTTTAAGGATACAGAGGAATATCTTTTGTTTTAAGAAAGAAATTATTTAATGTTATTTCCGTGTAACTACGTATTTGGTGTCAACTTGAATGATTTTCTTAGAATATTGGTAGCAAGCATGGAATAGAGTTTTCTAAGAGCAAGTCACAATTTATCCTGCAAGAACCATGCATTGCATTAGGCAGTGATAGTGGAAAGCTGATCTAAGTCATTATTTTTAAGGAGGCGCTCACAGAGGGTGATGCTGTAGACATTTTAGCCCATCCTCTTAGGGAGACCCGCTCAGAGTGCTGTGAGAGAGAACAAAGGCAGTAACTGTCAAGGAAGGGGTGCTTTCACCTACACAATCAGAAAAGTGCCTTATGGGCTTTTTTTCGTCTTTCCCTTTTGCTTCTGTAAAACTTAAAAAATTTTCTTCATCTGAACATAGTTTTCATAAAGAATCCCTCACTATGTATAGTGTTGGAATAGCATATATTTTGATCTTCCTGTTGGAGTTTTCCAAATTCATCAAGCTGAACACTTTCAATGGGTGCATTTTACTGTATACAAACTATAGCTCAACTTTTCATAAATCCATCAAAACTTCCAGTGTTACTCCTGTACTTCAGAGAAAAAAAATGCAACTTCTTCCCTTTGATATAATAAGTGCATTGCAGAAAGAAAAACTATAACGAATGATCAAGTGGATTTTTTCTCCCATAATAATTATTTCATTTCTGTATTCTCTTCCAGCTGTAGGTCCAGATTTTTCAAGAACCCTCTTAAAAAGGGTAACTCTTGTCAAAGTGGGAGGTGAAGTTGTCATTGAGTGTAAGCCAAAGGCTTCTCCGAAACCAATCTACACCTGGAAGAAAGGAAGGGACGTATTAAAAGAAAATGAAAGGTATTATCTTGAAATATTTTAAGTATGTGGTTAACCAATAATAATTTATAGGTCTGTTGTTAATAGTCCTAGAGGGAAGAATTTATGATCAGCTCTTCATGAACTAAATGCTAATCAAAGATCTGAAGCTTTGGAAAAGAGTGGTAAATGAGCAGGTCTTCATAATCCTTCTTGATATTAAGATTCTAGAAAGCCTTTCTTGCACAGGTAGATCACATTATCCCTGTTGAAGGGGGTTGGAGCTGCCCAAAGATGTGCAACTGGAAATATCTTTTTAAATTTTAGCTTAAAATTTATTTGTAGGCTTGACCATCTTTCTCCATTCTATTAATACCTCCTTTTTTTCCCCATAAACAAGTAATTCCAGTTCTTTTTTGCTATGGCAACCCGTCAAATATTTGGCAGTGTCTAATGTGTCTCTTGTTAATCTCTCCCTTTTTTCAAACTGTCTCTAATTCCAGAACTCATTTTCAAATAACATGGCTTTTATTATTTTAATCATGTCTTTTAAGAACTCTGTTTCAAACTTATTTTTGAAAAATTTTTTTTTCCTTCTGCTATCTAAACTCTTCAAATGTGTGTTTCTTATTATACATGAATTATGTTTATAACGCATGTTCTTTTATGCAGTGTAATTATATGGGTTGTTTGGGGGTTTAGGTCATATTGTGACAAATGGCAGGTATCTCTTAAGACCTTTTCTTGGCTGTCACCACTATAAAATATCTCCCACCCCTTTCTGTAATCTACTTATATGTGTTGGAAATGGTGATTTTGCATGAATCCGTCATGCATAAGATAACATTTACCAGCTGTATACATAATGATTTTAATTCATGCTAAAGGTCAAGTACTCCACGATGTCATGGGGAAGCCTGTAAAAATGTGTGCATATCGCCTTTAACACCTGTACACCTTTGGATTTACATATGCAAACTAGATCATCACACTGATGATGTTGTCCTTATTAATGATTTTTGCAAACAAACCCGATATGGTTTATAGAGGGTCTATTCATACATAGTAAATGCATAATATGCGTCTCTTTCTGATTTCTGTTATATCAAGAAAGTGGTATAGTTTACTGATTACTGGCTTGACATTCAAATCTGGAGCCAAAGTTGGAACTTGAGAACAGTTTCTTATTTTGTGTACCACATACATTATTAGATTAAGGCTACATTTTAAAAGTTTTAATACAACATTGCTATGAAGAAAAATATTTTTAAATAATATGAAAAATAGATATATGAATGAGTGAGGTTTGAGTAACATGGAAGATCAATCCAGGAGAGGCTAATAAAATTTGCTGCTGTCACAAGCAACCTACAGTGTCCTAAAACAAAAGGACATTTCTCATCCAAACTGCATGCCCACCAGAGGTCTGCTGGGGGCCTTGCTGCGCTCTCAAGCCTAGACTGGTAGAATAGCACTCTCTGGAACATTTAAATTGCAGAAGGAGAAGAGGGTGCTAAACTTGTGAAGTGAAGCACTTCTTTTTTGCTCATGTTTTGATGGCCAAAAGAAGTCACATGGCTCTTCCCAAATTCAGCCCAACAGGGAAATTCAGTCTTTCTGTGTGCCTAGAAGAAAAAGGACAGCCTAACTTTTTGAACAGTATTAATGACCACTCAACATGACTATAATTTAATCATTGCTATAGGTTGTTTAAATTAACTTTGGGAAAATGATATACCAAGAATTACTTTTACTAAGTAAATTTGACTTCTTCTACCATTTGACTTACCACAAAGCTTATCTCTCCCCAATTTTTAAATTTTTTTCTTCTGACTTGATTGATAGGGTTCAGATATAGCCTCAACATTTCTATGGCACTAAGGGTATCTTTAAAGCAAGGAAACTCCCTGTCATTACTCAGGTCCTGGTCGTTATCACCTCTACCTCCACCATCACCAGGCATGACCCAAACTGTCAGTGTTAGCACTTTTTATCCCGGTAGGTGCTGTGTCCTCACTGTTCTCTTTCTCGGTTCTACCTCACTCACAGTGTGTTAAACAGATAGATTGATTTTCATCATGAAAATGAACTTAAAAGCTGATCAGGTATTATATATATATATATATATATATATATGTTTTTTAACAAAGCATGTATTTGTTTTTTACTTAACTAATTTATTTGGCTGCACCCAGTCTTAGTTGGAGCACACGGGATCTTCAATCTTTGTTGACTCAAGCGGGATCTTTCAGTTGAAGCATGCAAATTCGTAGTTGTGGCAAGTGAGATCTGTTTCCCTGACCAGGGATTGAACCCAGGCCCCCTGCATTGGGAGCCTGGAGTTTTAGCCACTGGACCACCAGGGAAGTCCCTGGCTAGGTATAATTTAAAGGTGAATGTAGGGACTTAAGTGTGTGTCCCATCCATGGGAGACACTTGCCACTCAATTCTAGCATATTATTGCCACCAAATGGAAATACAGGTCCAGTGCCTCCCCACCTTCTCATTTTTCAAGGGAAACTAGAAATATGGAATTTAAGTTGAGCTATCTTAAGTTTTAAATGTCAGTAATTTTTTTAAAAAGTTTTAATGTTAGAACAGTATGGGCCACACATCCATGGACCAAGTTTACTCCATGGCCTGCTGGGGTATGAGAAAGATAAACTCAACTGGACTTCCTGTAATTTCTGAAAAGGGTAAAAAATAAGAAAGCTATTACTGACATTTCCTTGTTGACAGAGAAGAAATTCTGCCATTTTCCTCTGTCTTTTTGATAAAAGAGAAACCTAAGTAAGTGAATAAATGAACAAAAGTGATCACATATAGGATTCATAAGTGAAAAGTTTAGAATTCCTATTTTAGAAAAGGATTAACATTACTAGAACAACACAAAAGGAAAAATTTTTGTTGAGTATGTACAGTGTTGAGTAATAGTTTCCAATATATGGATTTGTAATTCCCTTTTGAGATGTGGAATCATAAGAATCAAAAGGCAAGCTGTTAACATTTGAATGATTTTTAAAAAAAATTTTATTGAAGTATTGGTGGTTTACAATATAATGTAACATGCTTAGTCACTCAGTCATACCCAACTCTTGGTGACCCCATGGGCTGTAGCCCGCCAGTCTCCTCTGCCTATGGGATTATCCAGGCAAGAATGTTGAACTGAGTAGCCTTTCCCTTGTCTTACAATGTTGCATTTATTTCTTCTCTATAGCAAAGTGATTTAGTTATACATACTCTTTTTCATATTCTTTTCCATTACGGCTTATCACAGGATATTATGGTTTATCACAGAATATAATTCCCTGTGCTATGCAGTAGGACCTTGTGTTTTATCTATCCTATATATAATAGTTTCTCTCTGCTAATCCCAAACCCCCATTCCTTGCGTTGGCTGCCCACTGTCCCCCTTAGCAACTATAAGTGTATTCTCTGTGAGTTTGTTTTTATTTCACAAATATGTTGAGGTGTCAGATTTTAGATTCTACATATAAGTGATACCATGTTGTACCTGTCTTTCTCTTTCTGACTTACTTCACTTAGTATGATCATCTCTAGCTTCATCCATGTTGCTGCAAATGGCATTGTTTCATTCTTTTTGATGGTTGAGTAATATTCCAGTGTGTGTGTGTGTGTGTGTGTGTGTGTGTATGTGTGATCTTTGATCTTCTTGTGGTGGTGTGCACATTTTTTTTAGTTGCAGCATGCTAACTCTTAGTTGCAGCATATGTGATCTAGTTAGCTGGCCAGGGATTGAATCCAGGCTCCCTGCATTGGGAATGTAAAGACTTAGCCACCAAACCACCAGGGAAGTTCCCATATCATGTCTTCTTTTTCCATTCTTCTGTCAATGAACACAGGTTGTTTCCATTTCCTGGTTGTTGTAAGTAGTGCTACTAGTGAACATAGGGGTGCATGTATCTTTTTGAACTACAGTTTTGTCTGGGTATATACCCAAGGGTTGAATTGCTGGAACATACCATAGTCTATTTTTAGTTTTTTTTTTGAGGACCCTCCATACCGTTTTCTGTAGTGGCTGCCCCAATTTATACTCTCACCAACAGTGTAGGAGGGCTGCCTTTTCTCCACACCCTCTCCAACATTTGTTATCTGTAGACTTTTGAATGATGGCCTTTAACATTTGAATAAAAGATGATTAATCTCAATTATAGAATATTGCTATAAACCAAGTTTCAGTGGAACAAAATTTATGATCAAGCACCACTTGTTATTAATGTTCTCCCTAGAGCTTATGGTTTGACTTAGCCAAACACTGCTTAAGTGATTTTTTATTTCAAATTTAGCTAATCAGCTGCCTGCAACTGAGATTACATTAAAAGTATAAGAAGCAACATTTTTAAATGTTTACATTTTGATCTTATTCACATTGTGGTGTTATAGTTACCTCAATGGGTATGGATTCAGAAATACTAGTTTAATGTTAACATGTGAACAATTTTTAAAATATGTTTGTATGTGCTTATTTTGGTTTTTAAAGGCTTTAGGAATTTAAATCGTATTTACACTGACCTTATATATATATATTAAACCAATCATCTAAATGAAAGATTTAATCTTCAATTTTTATAACTTCACTCTTGTGTAGGCAGCATATCCATAAGCATAAATATTTTTTTTTTGTTTTCTTGTATATTTATCCAGCTATCACAGTACAGGCAATATCAGGCCTTTAAAACAGAGATGGTTTGTCACAGAGACCCAAGTACTTCAGTTCTCAGGAGAGGCCTCTACTCATCACCAAAGCAGAGAAATTATTTAGATTCATTGAGCAATTAAGCCATGTAACTGAAAAAGGTTGATAATTTTGTTTACTGTTAGTTTCTGGACAGAAGGCATTTGAGGCAGATGAGACTGATCTATTACAAACAAAAACATCAGAATTTAGAATGAGAGAATAAAAAAAGGTTTAATAAAAACCTAGGCACCTAGAATCATAAGGAGACATGAAACCAACTCACATGGACTCTTTTGGTTACAAGTGACAGAAACCCAACTCAGATCCGGCTTCAGTAGCAAAA